CACTGTTCAGCCATAACAATATGACCACCCACCTAATATTGAGTAGGTCCCCCTTTTGCTCTCGAATCAGCCCTTGCCTGTCATGGCATGGACTCCACAAGACCTTTGAAGGAGACTAAGTCAACACCTCAAACTCGTGGTTGTGTTCCTCAAACCATTCTTGAACTATTTTTGCAGTGTGGCATGGCGCAATATCCTGCTAAAAGAGGCCAATGCCATCAAGGAATACCATTTTCATGAAGGGGTGTACTTGGTCAGCAACCATGTTTAGGTAAGTGATACGTGTCAAAGTAACATCCATATGAATGGCAGGACCCAAAGTTTCCCAGCAGAACATTGCTCAAAGCACCGCCTCCGCTGGTTTGTCTTATTCTCATAGTACATACTGATGCCATCTCTTCCCCAGGTAAGTGACAAACACGCACCAGGCCATCCACATGATGTAAAAGAAAATGTGTTGCAGCAGACCAAGCTACCTTCTTCCATTGCTCCGAGGTCCAGTTCTGATGCCCAATGTAGGCATTTTTGGCAGGGGACATGGGTCAGTGGCTACACAGCCCCATTTGCAACAAACTGCGATGCTCTGTGTGTTCAGACACCTTTCTATTGGAACCAGCATTAGCTTTTTCAGAAATTTGATATACAGTAGCTCTAATATTGAATCAGACTACACGGGCCAGCCTTTGCTCCCCATGTCCACCAGTGAGTCAGTTTTCCTTCCTTGGATCACTCTTGGTAGGTCCTGACCACTGCAGACCGGGAACATCCCACATTGATTTGATGTTGCTCTGACCCAGTCATCTATCCCAGTTTGGCCCTTGTCAAAGTCGTGCAATACCTTACATTTGGCCAATATTTTCTGCTTCCAACACAACAACTTCAGGGACAGAAAGTTCACTTTCTGCCAAATATATTCCACCCACTTCTAGGTACCACTGTAACGAGATAATCAATATTATTCACGTCACCTCTCAGAGGTCAGAATGTTATGGCTGATCAATGCATGTCACCATTGGACGATTCACCCTCACTTCTTGCTCTGATCACAGCTCAAAAATGTAGACTTTCCCCTTATTTTCTGTTTTAGCGACAGTGGTCACAAGGAAAAATTGGGGGGCACAGACAGCAATATAGAATGGGGACACAGGCAGCAAAAAAGGTTTGTCTTTGCATACCTTTTACAAGGTCAACAAATCTGAAGGTGTTCAGTAACTAGCATTTTCATACAGAGGCTAGCAGTGGCAGATTTCATTTTTCTTTCTGCGCAGGCCTCCCATAAGTGTGCTTGCCTGGGCCCAGTAAGCAACGTTATCAACATATCCAAAAGGCAGATGTATGACCTTCACTAGGGATGCACTGATACTGTTTTTTTGGTATTGAGTATGAGTACCAATATTTTCCTTTCGGTAGCGATGCCGAGTACCGATACCGGTGCTTCCGCAGGCATCGAGCCGGCTTCCCAGGCAATCAGCAGCGAAGCCAGGTTCCCAGCCAATCAGCATTGAGCCGGCTTCCTGGCCAATCACGAAGCCAGGAGGCAGGTTATTATTTGCCACCGGGCTTTCTCTTTGCCGGAAAGCTGGCCCCATGTTCCCCTACAGCACTGCCTCTGACCAGGAGTTCCGATATTGGGGAAGGTATCGGAGCATTTGGGCGAGTACTCGCCCAAATACTTGGTATCGGCACCAATACTAGTATCGGTGGATCCCTACCCTTCACTGCAGATATGTGGGGCAACTGAGCTGGGTATGTACAAGAAATGGGCACTAGTGGCTTTAGTCTATTCAATAGGCAAATGTGGGTAGGAGTGACTTTGTTTGGATGCATAAAGATATCCACTGATCATGCATTGTAATTGAACATTTCCTCTGAACTGTGCGTGAGACAGGCGGACATAATGCACACTCCTTATCAATGTTTGGTAATGTTTCAAAAATGTTATTATATATTGAAATGGAGGTAGCTATATTTGTCATAACATACCAAGGCTCTGCAGGTGTATGCATCAGACCAAAAAGACAGAGGGTTTTGGTTCTAAAAAAGGGACAGTTCCTCCAAGCGAGGGACAGTTGGGAGCTATGCTATAGTTCCTCTTCTAACTTAAAAACACCAAACAAAATGTTACCATCATTAGATACAATTCTACCCTTTACCAGTTAATAAAATTCATTCTTTTAACCTCTAAAGTTTTGCAAAGGGAATATTGTGAGGATCATTTTATTTATTTATTTAGCAGCATAAATGTTATGCATATGATAGTTTAGGGCATATTTGCTACGGCCAAACTTGTAAACTGTTATTGCTAAATTCTGTACTACCAAATTAATATGACCCTACATTAGCCACACAACAATTAAGGCCCCTTTCAAACGAGCGCTCAGGTTGTCAGGTTTCCAACCCTCCCTTTGCAGATGAAAAACAGACAACAATGCATCTCTATGGCAGTGCGGATGAAAACTGATGACCATCAGTTTACAGCAGGAAACATCAGTGTCAGTTGAGATCTGCAATTTGAGATGGATCAGCTCTCGGTTTTGACTGACCAGAAAACTATTCATTATTCAGTGAAATTATTCACTTTAAGATCACTGCAAAGGACAAGGGGGCACGTTTTGCGTCTGGGGGAAAAGAGGTTTAACCTTTGCATACGGAAAGGATTCTTCACAGTTAGAGCTGTGAAAATGTAGAATAGACTCCCCCAGGAGTCATTTACTAAAGGTTACTTAAAGGAGAACTATGAGGTAAGTGCTTTTCACTCACCTCATAGTTCTAGCCGACCTGTGACAATGAGACTGTCACAGGTCGGCTCAGTAGATCGGGAGGTGAGCGAACACATACCGGGTTCGCTCG